AAAAACAATCCTGATGATATTGAATTATAAAAAAATAAAGGTATGAATCAATAGCATTCTTAAGGAATTACATTATTAAAGAGAAATCTGCTTAAAGAGGCTTTAGAACTCTTTAATACAGCAATTGAAAAATATCCTGAATGTTCAGATTTATACCATCGCAAAGATATCAAATTTTTACAATTCTTAAGCAAACACCCTTGATAAAATGAATCGATTGGAGGAAGCATTAGAATGCTATGATATCGCTATTTCAAAAAATCCTGAAAATTCGTTTTAGTATTATCATAGAGGTATAATTTGATTGCATTTTAAGCAAATATTTTAAGTAAAATGAATCGCTTTGAAGAAGCATTAGAATATTTGGATTATGCAATTTCAATTAATCCTGAAAACTCAGATTTTTATAATAATAAGGGTATTAATCATTTTAAGGATAAGCATTAATTTTAAGTGAAATAAATCGATTTGTAGAAGCCTTGAAAAACTTTGATTTGGCAATTAATATAAATCCAGAAAATAGTAAATTATATAGCAATAAAGGTAAATATTTGTACATTTCTAAGCAAATACGTTAGTTTCATTGAATCGATTAGAAGAGGCACTAAAATATTATGATTAAGCCATTGTTAGAGATCCTAAAAATTCAATTTTTCATCAAAATAAAAGTAACATTAATCACAATTTAAGTAATCATTTAATTTCAGCTTTATTGGTTTATTAAATTAAACATTTTGAGTCAATTTAAATAAACATTTTAATATCATGGACCCATTTGAAAGATTATCATGATACAGATAATATAAATTAAATAGAGCATTTATTTTTTGTTAATGAAATGTTGTTTCTTACATCCAGATTTTCAATAAAGACTCTTCAAAATTTTTTTATTCAAATCATCATCACATTATATATAGATATTTTTAATGTTCTTATTACTTGCGAGCTTGACGAACTCTATGAACTGATATCTTATTCTTTTTACTCTTTCACAGTTAATATAGACCAAAAGTTATGATGATTAATTTGTAATATTTATTATTTAAATGTTTTAATATGATAGGCTATTTTTATTATTAGATTTGAAATATTATCCAATTAATATTTCCTTTTATATTTAAATATATATTGAATTATTGAATAAATACATTTTATTTAATAGTCCAAGGTGAATTAATAATATTACAAAATAAAGAAGTATTAAATATAAATAAATAAAACTAAAATAAAATTTAACACTAATATATCTGGAATCTCAATTAATGATTTTATTTTATTCTCTTTCCAGATACATGGCAAAAATTTTACAATTCTATTCTAGATTTTTCACATCTCAATCTAGCATTTTGAGGGTTCATTGGTTAACAAACCACATAGCTTACAGTACTTCATCATTAAAACCTTGTCATAGTCCATTTTCAAAGGCTAAACTATATAGCTATCATTAAAACCTTTGGCCTCATATTAGCACCTTTGATTTGTGAAAAACTTAACAAAGTAAGCTACTGGATAATAGTTAATTACCAGAATTACCCTGTAATTAACGTCCAATATTAATTAGTTATTTCTAAAAAATTACTTTAATCATATTTCATGATTAAGTTAATTTTAACTATTATGCAATAATTAAAAACTGTAGACATTTATTGATATATTATCAATAAAGATGTGAACTAAAAATGTTCTTTTTTGAATAAGGCATCTCCTATTTATAGACATTAATTCGAATCATTCAATTTTCTCTAATTTTGTTTTTATTTTAATAAGCTGAACTAAAGGGTATCGAAAAATAAGCAAAATTCGTAAAAAGATTGAGCCTCATATTAGGTTAATTTTTTTATTTGATATTTTTACATAAAATCTTCTTAAGCATTTCATGAGGTTTAGAAACACTGAACTCTCTAATTGATTATACTCTGTATGCCTTTATGAAATTCATTATTTAATGCAATAATGGTTCGACAATCCTATGAAAGAGATAACCTTTGATATCTCTCTCCTGATTTTCTTAATATAATTTAATTAATTGTAGTAAAGAGTGAGATATAAATGATCTATTTATTTGATAATATCTCCTTTAGAGATGCTTCATTATGAATAGAAGCATTGCCTAAAATGAAAAAATTTAAACCTCTACCAAATCTGCTGTTCAATAATTAGATTAAACTCGACCCATTATTTTTAAAATTTTGTTTTTACATACTAAAATAGAAACAATCCCTATCTAATTGCACCAATAATATTAATTCTTTTTGTGATTGAAATAAGGTTTTTATGAAACTTTTGCCCTAATACACTTCAAACTGTTTAAGCAAAGTCACTCCCTATTCCACTTTCATCAATATAAATTTTGGAACAAATTATTTGTATATAAAACAAAAAATAAAGTGATTATAATACTCTTTTTTCTTTATTTTGAATTGTTGCTAACAAAGAATTTTTATGATTTTATAAATGAATATCCAAGTTAGCTAATCAATTTTCAAAATTTTTTAATTGAAAACTGATCATTATTAACCTTAAAATTCATTAAAAGTCATTATAGATTGTTTTATTTAATTTAAGGTTTTAATATCTTCTCAATTAACATAACTAGGGATTCAATGAGAATGATATAATAAAATCTCAGGGTTAAGACGAAGGTCATCTTTCTGATAATTAATGGATAATGAATATTATTCATACTCTTAAAGAAAACCATATGTTCTTTATACAAAATATACCAGAGAGTGTATCTCTTGTATCTGAATAAGAGTTTAAAGTATATATCAAAATGAATAGTATAAAACATCATTCTATAGAAAATCATAATATCTAATTTCTTTTTATAAAGTTTCTATGCGAACTGCTGATGATTCTACTAATTTATCACATTTTTCATCTATAATTTGGAAGAATTATGAATCAAATTTGAGTTTTTTATTTGACTTTGAAAAACTTGATTCAGAATAAATTTTCTTCTTGAGAAATTAAGAACTATTGATTTCCAAGAATTTTATGGTGAACATGCTTAATAGTTTAAATTTTGGTTTAATGTTATAATCTTATTTGATTTGCATTAGAAAGAATAGGCAAAATCCACTTAACTCAATTTTCATATACTAAATATTTTTATCCTCATAATTGTATAAAATAGATGGGTTGATGATAAAATTTATTTTCAAACATTACAAAAACTTTAATCGAAATACAATCTATATCCAATCCAGCAGAATACATTGTTTTAAAAATGAGATATGATCAAATCATATCGTACTCTATTTTATCTAAAGCCTCAATCTTCGTTCTATTAAACTTAACTTACAATAATCTATATAATTGTCCATTTACATTAATTTTCGATCAACCTTTTGACTGTGTTTTAATAATTTACTAGACTACCATATAAAAATGCACATAATTATTTTAGGTGTTATTTAATTGAGAAGCTTCATAAAAATTGAATTCTCCGGGATTTATGGCTCTAAGTGGGTTAAGTGTTACCTTTGAGATAATTATTTTTACTGAAAAATTGGCTTAGCGAAATAATAAAGTGAATTAAATCGCGATTTTAGAGTAAAGAAAACTAAATATATTATCTCCAAGGACTTTTTCTCATTTTTTATTGATACTTGTTCCTTAATATATTCAACAAAACTGAAAAAGGTAAAAGATTCCTTAAAAATTACGATAATATTTTTTTTCTAAAGGGTTCAGCCAACGCTTTATAATGTCTTTATTAGCACGCTCTATTTAATTTGATCTATTGTAATAAGATGTAATTTTGGAAGGCTGTTATTTATCAAAGAATGGATTTCGCCTACAAATTAGATGAACCAATATGTTTAAGTCTATTATAAAATTCCCAATTCATTCATCTATAATAAATTTTTTAAGCATTTATCTTACTACATTTTTTTTCAGAAATGAACACTATTTATTAAGATTATCAAAAAGAATAATATTTATTAAATTCTTAAATTTTTTACTTTTTAAATTAAATTCAAAATTATAGTTTTTATATCATAATAATTCATCAAATATTGTTTAATTAATACTTAAATTCAATTATATATTTAAATTTTTACACTTAATTTTCATTAAAATTATATATCATTAATTTAACTTTATATATTATGATGCTAATTATGCTATTATTTAAAAATATACTTTTATTAATAAATTGAAGGTTCTTTTATATATAAATAATTAAAACAGAACATATAATTTAGATATACTTTATGTTAATTGATATGAACTGATAAATCAAATATAAAATAGGACTTTTTACTTAACAAGGTCAGGTAAGGGTAAGAATTTCACTTAATCTCTGTCATCATAGTTATCTCCAATAAAGTTGCAAAGACAATGTGCATATCTGACAGGAGCAGGGATTTTGATAGAACCTGTAAAATTATAGAATAACCAACATAATTTGAATGTCAAAACTTTGATATCATCGTCAAGACCTATGATAAATACAAATATATACCTGCTTAATCTGAATGAATGATTTTATATAAGGAAGGAGTTACAGTTCCTTACCTAGTTATTTGTGAAATTAAATAAAAGTTAGGATTTGATTGTTCTACTACTTTAGGGTTATCAACACATGTTCCTGGTTAAGGATTATCAGGTCTAGCATTTCCACCAGTATAGAATTTAGCTGAAACCCTTTTATTGCATACAACAAGTGAAATTTTAGTATCTACAATTTATAATTCTTCTAAGGCTTATTTATATTATGGTAATTCATTTGCAAGTACTACAGCCTATTATCCATCTCCAACACCATCTCTATAAATAATAACCAACTTTGGAAATATTCCATTTTATTCTTTAAAAGCTAATAGAGATGCTTTAAAAACTTATTAAAGATGCTAACTGAATTCTCCAGAAGTAACAACTTGAGAATAATATCTACTTAAATTTCTATCAACTGTGCTACAAAAAGCTAATTAATTTTTTCTTCCACTTTTAACAAAGCAATCTGTTCCACAAATCATAGAAGGTTGATTTTAGAAAGTAGTTGGTAAACTATCAATTGCCCAAGGAGTACCTCCAACTTTAGCATTGAGTTAAATTAATATCTTATTTACAATTGATCTAGTATTTTTGGCTAGAGTTTTTTCAACAACAACTTAAGATGCACAACCAAATTTTTGCATAGAGATTTTCTTAGCTGTTTTATATAATCTTGCCTTTTTTTTTTATCCAGGTAAAAGGAATAATAAGAAACCAACTTTTGCTTTATTGGCTTCAGCTTATTTTTAAAAGCCATCAAGAACTCTTTCTAAATCTTCATCTCTATCTTATTCAATAGGGAAAACTTTAGGAGCCATGAATGCTTAAAATTTAAAGTCATTGCATGCAGCTTAAAAATTTTACATCAAGGAATCCATAGTTTATTATCCAGTTTTTTTATTGTATATAATTCCCAAAATAAGTTATTGAGGAGGAGTTGAAAACATTTAGGTTTATGTTTATCTATCTAAATTTGTTTAAGGACTTGATAGATCTAATTTTAAACCATTTCCCATTAACATATTTCCTGGATGGATTCTTCTGGCAGGTACATCCATACTTCCAGGATTAATTTCTACTCCCCATTCTTTAAATATTTATCTCTTAGTTCCAGATTTTTTATTTATAATTTCAGTATTTGCTAATTAATTAGCAAATTCTTAAGCCATCTTCATTCTTTAATCAGCTCCTGGTTTAGTAACAACTGCTAAATTCTTCATTGCATTGAAATCCTATAATTATTATATAATTCTATACATTTCTTATTGCATCTGTTAAACCTGTTAATTAACATAATTGTGGAATCAAATGAATTGTTTTTTCTGTTTTATCTTATTTACTTCTCACTGTAGCTCTAATTAATGGTTAATTTCCATCAACTTTCACTTTATATCTTTATTCATAATATTAGGCAAATGACATGTTTTCACCTTTCTCATTTGTAAATGTGCTAGTTGGTCTAAGATTAACATCAACAGCTTCGACTTTATAAAACTTCTTATTATAAGTAGTCATAACAATTTAATCTTAAATACAAGATGGATTTCTAGTTTAATTCAATTCTTCTAAGGCAGATCTATATCTTAGCATTTTGAATGCACAATCAATAACTAAAGTTGGATTCTAAGCTCCTCCTTCTCCTGGTCTAAAAATACATTCTACTCCTGGCCAAATCTAAAGATAAAATTGATTTCTTTACTTCTAAATTCTATTCTTTAAATTATTATGCTCTACTTGACCAAAATAGCTTTTATCCTTTATTACCAACTGAAACCATTTGTAATTAACTTCTAATAACTTATTTGAAGAGTCTTGATATAATAATATTTAAGTCAGCTTTATTTTCAATCTTCCCAACTAACTTAAGAGTAGCTGTGTCTTGATTTGTGTCATTGCCACTCAAAGAACCTAAAACTAAACCATTATCAGCTTCTTAGATTAGTTTTGGTGAATAAATATTCTAGTTCAAACTCATAAATAAGATCAATTAGGTCTAGAGTTATGGTCTAAATTTCTTAAGTGCCTCATTAACTTTTTCTGGTGAGGAATCTGTTATTTCTAATTTGTATTAATAAACTGGTCTTGATGGGTTCAATCTCATCTCATGAAAGTTTGCTTTGAGTTAAATATTTTGGAACATTTTGAATTATATACATTAATTACTTCGATTGAATTAGTTCATATATTCATTTTATAAAAATGTACCTAAAACCTTAAGTGTGAGTCATATATTTAGTACAATTTATATTCGAAATTAATTTAAATAATTTATATTTAATTCACTTCAAATATTATATTATTTATTCTTTAATGTTATTTGTAAAATACTTTAAGTAGCAATAATTTGGAATTGTAGATAATGGAATTGTTTTTATTGAATTATTTGAATATGATGTGTATATTATATATTTATGGATGATTGTTGAAAATAATAATTTATTTATCAAAAATATAGTATATTGTTTTTAATGAAATCTCTTCAAAATGATAATCTTGATAATTAATATATATTATCTATTCATATCAAATGAAGAGATTTAAATATTTGATATCAGATTTAATAAAGAATCATAATAATTCTGTAAATTAGATAATATATAGAATGAAATTATAAAATAAATTAATTTCTTTTCATGTCAACTTCTAAATCAATTATAGATGAGACTTACATTAATGTTCATTTAAAAGGAGGTAATCTCCATTCTGAACTCTTACATATTGAAGCTTCTTTCAATAAAGGTATTATTATGATTCAATTTTTAGGATAATTTAAAGGATAATCTATTCCATTGAGATGCTAATGGTTTAATATAACAAAGGATAAGGATTTTGTAGAAATAGAGGATGTATCAGGATAATTTTATCAACCTTGTATACTAGATATTGATACTAAGTAACATCATCAATATTCCTATAAGAATTATGGTTTAAGCCATACCAATTTTGGACTTTGATTATAATGGAATGCCCTTAATGGCTGAAACTAATTTTTTACAAGCCGATTCAAAAATTTTCGATTTAGTAGATTAATAAATTAAAAATTAGGTTAACTAAGCATTTAATGAAGGAGAGATGTAATTAAATTGTAAATTGGAAAATATTTAGGCATAAGATAATCAATCTTTTATGGATCTTAATTTACCTTTAATATGTACTTTAATTGCCAATGAACATGGATTAATAATGAAAACTGATTAAAATAAGACTATTGTCAATATTGATAAATACGAATTAAAAATTATAAAGAAAAATAATAATTAGATTGAGATCTTCAATTAAAATATTAAATTATTAGCAGCTGTAACAAATAATATAGTTCGTGATGCCATTTTTTAATTTAGCAAAACTTTAAAATCAAAAAAAACTCATTTAAGTGATACAGCTTAATTGTATGTGATACTTTCTGATTAAGAATAAAAGATAGCTTAAAAAGATAATGAGATATCTTCATTATTAGACTTTAAGTAAAAGTTAACTAAGAATCTAAATGAACTTTAATAATAATATAATTTAAATATTAAAAAATTGGAATAAATTGATAAATAAATAGCATAATAAAATTAGGTAATTGTAAATAAGGACAAGGAAATAATTAATTTAAAATAATAGATTGATAAATTAGATGGAAAAACATAAATTTATATATAAGAAATAAAGGTTTTAAAGAGTTAAGTAATTTTATTAGAAAATACTAATAAAAAATATTAGCATGAGATAGAAGAATTAAAAAAGAATTAAAATTAAAATTAAGATGAAATAAGGGAAATGTTTTATAGAGAAAAATTAGATAGCTTAAAATTGTAAAATGATGTATATATTATTTATATTTAGAGAAATGCATAAAAGAAAATCAATAATGGCAACTTATAAATGATTAGTTAATGAAAGAAATAAAAAAACTTGAAAACAATAATATATTTTATTAAGAAGAAAAAGAGTTAGTTTAAAATGAATTAAATAGTTTAAAAAAGAAGTATGAAAGTTTATTATAAGAAATTGAACTTAATTAAAAAAAAGAGAAATCTGAAATTTCATCAGAAGTAATTATAAAATAATAAAATTTTAGAGTGATGTTTAATCAAATAAGTAATCAGAAATTATAATCTGTAATCCAATTGTATAGAATAACAATGGTTAATTAGAAGAAATAAAGAGATTGAAAACTACAATAAATAATTTGGAATCTACAATTAAAAAGTAAAGATGTGAAAAATTTTAGTTTGAAATGTGACTATGAATAGGATATGTTGAAATTAACAAATAAACACTTTTTAAAAAGCAATACTTCTCAAGAAATATAAGTATTGCAAAAATTAGTAATTATAAAAAAGAATAATTATAGGCTAATTCTTTGGCTGAAAGTTTATCAGATAAAGAATAAGCTTTACAAACATAGAGAAACATTAATAGAGAATTACTGAATAAAATATCTGAATTCACAAAGTGATTACGGAAATAAATGCATTGATTAATATTTTATTATATTCATTAATCTTTAGGTATTAAACCAAAATATTTATTGTGTAAAAAAAAAGGGAGATGCTATTTAAAAGAATTAGAACATATTTTATCCGTTTAAGCAAATTTAGATTATGTAGGACTAGTTTATTATCTAGATGTAGTTGAATGTATCCTTTTAGTTAATGAGCTTTCAGTAGCTTATTTTTTTAATAAACTTTGAGAATTATCTTAAATATAATCGTTGCTTTTTTTTATTTCTTTTAGATTGAATTTTTATTATAATTTAAAGGTTTTTTCTTCTTCTTAATTCATTTTAGTTTTTATTGTTGGTTAAGATGAAAATAATTTTGATAGCACTTTACAGATATATACATTTTATTTTGGAGAATCATGAATTGGAATTTCAGATTTTAATCTTTAATCGAAAGATGTTTTTATGTTTCTAGGACCTTTTTTAGAAATCTACATTATTTATTACTCAGTTCTCTATCTTCTATGTTTTTCAGATGTATATAATTACGTAAGTAATGTACTATAATTCATATCAGATTAAGGAGGTTACAAAGTTAAAGTAAGTTCTCTTATTTTTTTATCAATTTACTATTTTTTGCTACTAATTTTAGAAACATGAGTTTTATTTCTTACTAATACAGTTGTTTATAGATCTTCATCAGTTATTAGTTTTGGATTTAATTATTCTTTAATTTAAGTTCTTTCAAGAATTATTTATTTTTCTGTTTAATCAATGAAATTTTTTTCATAAGCCCTTATTTATGCTAAAGCTTATTTAAGTTTATCATCATTTAAGGAATTCAAACTTTGAGATAATGGAGGATCATTATATAATACTCTTAAGAAATCTCTCTTTGATACATAATAGATTGTGTTGGATTCAAAAGTTGAAATATAACTAAATTATCGACATAAGTCAGGTTATTTTAAAATTTCTAATTCACCAAACATTTCACCTGCACCAACAAATTTTAATGTCATAATTGACTTATTATCTCTTATGACAAGATTTCCATATTTCTTTTTCTGATAGAGCATATCTATTTTGTCTGAATTTGATAGACATGGTTTAGAATAGGCAAATCGATCTTTCAAATTTTGTAAATCATCTTATGAATTATTTTCATCATTTTATTATGGAATTCTTAATGTTTTAACTACCTATAATAATTATAAGTATTTATTACTTTAAATTATCCAGTTTATATAAAATAAACTTCATTTGAAGGATCACCTTCTCTATAAATTGCATGATTAAGTCCATATTTAATTTATTTAATAACATCAAATAAAGATTTAATACTTGCAAATTTCCAATCTCTAAAAATACTCAATTTAGCAAACTCTTCAAAATACATTTATCTTTGTTGGTTAATCTTATTTTGAATAAATTTAGGATTACCACAGTTTTTTTGATAGCCATATAATCTTCAGCTTCTAAAACTGCTAAATGAGTTGGAAGTATGGCTTTAACAGATGCTGAACGAGGTTCATTATTTTCAAGTGCTAATTCTCCAAATCCTTATCCATCTTATAATTATATTAATTCTTTATCTTAAAATTCATCTTAAACTAATAATCTTTTATGGATAGATACTCTTCCTTATAAAATAATATAAAAAGTAGTACCAACATCACCTTAAATTATTAATAATAAATACCTTCTTTAAATAATGTTTGACCATATGAAAGGTATGTATAACTCATTTTTCTTAAACATCTTTCCCATAATAAAGGTCCTTATTCTTTTTCAATTAATTTTTAAAAATAATCTATATGTATGGTAGCTTTTTTAAGAATTTCAATTTCTGATTGAGTTCTATGATAAGATGATTTTGTGAGAATGATGCATAAAATACCAAATATTTATTCTTATGTTAAAGTTTCATAAAGTGATGGGTCTTGTTCCATTTGTAATATGTATTATTTGAGTTTTTTATTCTCTAATTCTTTGAGAGCTTATGTATTTAATGAGCTTTTGCGAATAAATTTATTCATTATTTTTTTTTAATAAGCAGGAAATTGGAAAATCTATAATGAAGGGTCAATAAACACCAAATCGTTTTCCTAAAATAAATTAATTTGAAACTCAATTCTCTCATTTATCATTAAGTAATTTCTAAGAATAAAAACATAATCCTTCAATTTGTAAAGGAATGTTGAGTATGATTAATCCTAAACCTCCTTGTGAAAATAAGAAAATAAAATAATCTAGTATATATAATAATGAATAGGTTAATTTGAATAGAAAGCACATTGTTTAAAAAGATGTCCATTAGAAGAAGGTACAAGTTTTGATTTAGATTTATCTGTGTTTAAAATACGTCCTTGTTAAAGACAATGTGAACATAATTATAAATAATGTCCATATTTCCATTCAGAAAATGATTTAAGAAGACCTGGAACATATTACAAAGCAGAATTATGTCCTTATAAAGTAGAATAAAAAGAATGTCCTCATGGNGAAGGATCACCTTCTCTATAAATTGCATGATTAAGTCCATATTTAATTTATTTAATAACATCAAATAAAGATTTAATACTTGCAAATTTCCAATCTCTAAAAATACTCAATTTAGCAAACTCTTCAAAATACATTTATCTTTGTTGGTTAATCTTATTTTGAATAAATTTAGGATTACCACAGTTTTTTTGATAGCCATATAATCTTCAGCTTCTAAAACTGCTAAATGAGTTGGAAGTATGGCTTTAACAGATGCTGAACGAGGTTCATTATTTTCAAGTGCTAATTCTCCAAATCCTTATCCATCTTATAATTATATTAATTCTTTATCTTAAAATTCATCTTAAACTAATAATCTTTTATGGATAGATACTCTTCCTTATAAAATAATATAAAAAGTAGTACCAACATCACCTTAAATTATTAATAATAAATACCTTCTTTAAATAATGTTTGACCATATGAAAGGTATGTATAACTCATTTTTCTTAAACATCTTTCCCATAATAAAGGTCCTTATTCTTTTTCAATTAATTTTTAAAAATAATCTATATGTATGGTAGCTTTTTTAAGAATTTCAATTTCTGATTGAGTTCTATGATAAGATGATTTTGTGAGAATGATGCATAAAATACCAAATATTTATTCTTATGTTAAAGTTTCATAAAGTGATGGGTCTTGTTCCATTTGTAATATGTATTATTTGAGTTTTTTATTCTCTAATTCTTTGAGAGCTTATGTATTTAATGAGCTTTTGCGAATAAATTTATTCATTATTTTTTTTTAATAAGCAGGAAATTGGAAAATCTATAATGAAGGGTCAATAAACACCAAATCGTTTTCCTAAAATAAATTAATTTGAAACTCAATTCTCTCATTTATCATTAAGTAATTTCTAAGAATAAAAACATAATCCTTCAATTTGTAAAGGAATGTTGAGTATGATTAATCCTAAACCTCCTTGTGAAAATAAGAAAATAAAATAATCTAGTATATATAATAATGAATAGGTTAATTTGAATAGAAAGCACATTGTTTAAAAAGATGTCCATTAGAAGAAGGTACAAGTTTTGATTTAGATTTATCTGTGTTTAAAATACGTCCTTGTTAAAGACAATGTGAACATAATTATAAATAATGTCCATATTTCCATTCAGAAAATGATTTAAGAAGACCTGGAACATATTACAAAGCAGAATTATGTCCTTATAAAGTAGAATAAAAAGAATGTCCTCATGGTTATAGTTGTTGTAAAGCACATAATTAATACGAATTATTATATTAAGAAGATAATTATCGAAAATTATTTTGTCCTTAACCATAAAATTGTTGTTTTGGTATGTATTGTCCATATGCTCATTTTGAAAAGGACATTAAATGTGAATTGATACATTTATATTAACATGATTAGGATTATTTTATGTTTCATTACAAAACGATTGCTTGTCCTTATACATTATTTAATCATAATTTAGTAATCTATAATTTAATTAGGTCAACTTGTGATTATTATCATGATGAGAGTGATAAACGTAGAAAAGTTTAAGATATCCCTTATTAATCTTAATAATGTCCAAATTAGATATAAAATAAAAGTTGTTCTAATGAATGTTTATTATGTCATTCTATCTTTGAACTATATTTTCATCCTTACATGTATAAAACTTTTGAATGTACATAGTAAAATTGTTATCGAGATATTTGTCCAGGATATCATAATGAAAATGATTAAAGGTAAAATATTTTTAATATAATTAAAGATAATTAAATCCATTAGTTAGAAATGGAATCATGAAAATAGTTCCAAAAAATAGATTTGAAGAGAGATAACCAAAAACATAAACTATTAAATTTCCAAGTATATATTAATGAACTTATTTTACAAATTTTTATACTCTTTATAATTTAAATAAATTTTATGTCATTCTGTTAAGAGTAATTTTTTATTAATATTTGAAGACCCAAAGTTGACTGTCAATACTTGAAATCTGTTATAAAGAATCTTAATAATAGATTATACACATTAGAAAATGCTAATCAGAATTATGAATAGAAAAATAATCAAGTCATGGAATAAATTACTGAGGATTTAGTTATTCCAAAACTAAAACTAAACAAAATCTAAATTGGATTTATTGAAAACAATATTCCTTAAAAGAAAGTCTTAGTGACCTTTGGAAACAAAGAGAATTTCAGAACGGATAATTGTGATCAAGTTGGAGATAGAATAGATTAAAACATATTTACTATTAATTAACCATCTCCTTAAAGAAAAAACATAATATAATCATAATTGATGAATTAATAACTACAATTTCTCAAATAAAAAGATGATAAGTTAAACAATATTAATAAATAACCTAAACTTAAATTAGTCAAATAGGATTCCAATCTAATTCATCCCATCTTTTCAAAAAAGAATTCTGATTAATAATCAATAGGATCCAAATTCTATACTCGAAATAATTCTATATAATCAACTCCTGTTAAATAGATTGCTTATAATTCATCTTTAGGAACTACACCATTAAGAAGAAAGAATTCTTAAAAGAATAGCGATTTATTTATCAATTAATTATAAATTGATGATATGATGCATAATTAAAGTAAATTTCTTAAATATTTTCAATAAAATTATGGATCAAATAAATTAAGTAATACTTTTGATAATGTAAATAATAATTTATAGAGAAGAAATTCTTTAAAATCTTAAAATAAGATCACTTTGATAGATGCTCAAATTATTAAAATTTGATGATTTTCATTTTATTCACATTTTTACTTATGACTAATGATTTTTTTTGTTTAATAAAGAAAATTAGTAAAAACGATTTATTTATTAAAATAATGAAAAGCATAGTAGCCGTAACATTAGTTCTGTGTCTTCTTTCAAATCAAGTTATCTCTAAAAAGCATAACTAAGATGAAGAGCATTCAGCTTTTGAAAAAAGTATAACATTATGATTAATATATAGGTCATAAAAAATTAGCACTCTCTGATGATCCAGCTTATGGAAAATTAGAAGAAATTTAAGATCATCCACTTGGATCTAAGATTTTATAAACAATTGCTCTATAATTAAGAGGCAATGAATCATTAAGTGCTGTTAGCAAATTATTGAATGATTTGAAAGGTGATCTTGAAGTAATTATATATATATTCTATTCAAGGGTAAACAAATTGATGCTGATAATGAAAGAGCTTAAATTGGATCTCAATGCAAAAAAGATCTATAAAATTATAGTCAAAGAATTAGTTTATCAATTAATGAAATTAAAGATGCCGAATTCAAAGCTAAAAGATTAAATGAAGCCATTGCTGTCTATTAAGCTGAAATCAATGAAAAAGCTAGATAAATCAAAGTCTTTTAAGCTAAGGATGATACTTTAAGAGATATTAGAAGATAAGACAACTTAGATTTCTCAACCAGAACAACTTAAATGAAAGAAATGGTTCAAGCCTTTGAAGTCATCTTACCAAAACTTCATTAAGTTTGGGATGTAGCTGCAGCTCATAAGGCTGGTTCTTTTATTGAAGAAGAAGCTATTAATGAAGCTTTAGTTCAATTAGCTAAGATTGGAGAAGAAAATCCAATTACTGCTATGGTTGCTTTGACATCCACCTTAGAACCAACTGCAGTTTAGACTTTAATTGAAAAAATGGAAGCTATTAGAGATTCTATTAAGGAAAGTATTTAAGCTGAAGAAGAAGCTGAAGCCAAAAATGCTAGAGTATTTTATTATATTTATTATATTTAAGGATACTGATACTATTTTAGCTTCTATTTTCAATGCTATTGAAAGTTTAACCAGAGAAAAGGCAAGTGATGAGGAAGCTTTGTAAGAGACAATTAGAAATAGAGATATTTAAGATAAGAGAAGCAGAGATGCACATGCTGTATCATATTATTATATCATTAGGAATTTAATGCTGCTAAGAATGGAAATTAATAAAGAAATCAATAATGCTAGGAATATGAATTATAATATTAATAAAACACAATTGAAAGAGATAAATAAATTGCCATAATTAGAGATGTTTAAAACATCATAGCCACCAAAATAGAAGTTGTTACATGCTTTGTTGAGGAAAACAATTTATTTTGATATTAATTATATTACAATAAAACAATAATAGAAAGAATTCTTCTTCAATTATTATTTCTAACTCTTCTAAATAAATTTCTTATTGCTATCCACAAATCTATTGACAATTGTTTTGTAGCTCTCAATATATTTTTTATAAAATTATATAACCATGTTGTTATACTTACAATTAAATTCCATGTTGGAGTCAAAATATATTCATAAATAAAATTAAAAGTTAAACTAATTATTTTTATTAGACCCTAATTATAATAAAATGATTACATTAAAAAGACATTTAGCCATAATCCATAAGGGCAATAATAAAAATTTATAAATTAACTTCGAGATGATTCTTATAATAAATACAATGATATTATAAAATGGTTTTAGTATATAAATGAATATATTCTTAAGAATTATCTTATAAATTATTTGTATAATGAACCAAGTCAAACATCTATATATATTTAAACAGATTTAATCACAAATGAATTCACTAATTATAGAAATCACTTTGTATATCACATCAACAACAATGAATTTTAATAATTGCCATAATCTTGTTAAGACAATTTCATAAAGAAAATCTATCACTAACCATTAAACAATTTTACTGAATGGGATAAAAATTAATTTGTATAAAAAATTATAAAAGAATAATTTTGCAGCTTTGTATGAATAAGTTAATACAATTCTATACAAAAATTTAACTAATACATACTCATATATATTGAGTAAAATGTAATTATAAAAGTTTATTATTGTCCATCTCAATCCTTTGCAGAAATTTATTATAATAAATTTGTAAAGGAAAGTATATAACAAAAATTTTAACAAAAGCAAAAAGTTCCATATGATATAATTATAGAAAGGTATAAGTATATAATCTATTGTGAAGTCATAAAGACATATGATAAAAAGTTTTATGATGTGTAATAGCATATTAACAATGAAAATAATAGCACTTTTTAAAGGAATAAAGATCTTATAATGAAAATACAAAGCCAAAGGTACAATAATTTTTAAGGATATGGGTATTGTAATGATTGAAGTAAATTCTTACATTATTGATCTCAAATGAGCAAATTTGTAAATCATATTAATGATAAATATTGCATACCAATCTAGTATTTATTTAGAACATCTTCCTAAACAATAAATAGCATCAAGTAATTTATTGCATATAAAAGCTAAGCAAGAGTAAATTTTATTTAAGATAATTGAGATAATATTACATAGCCATTCTAAACATTAAACCATTTTCTCATAACAAATGAGAAGACAATTATAAACTTGATTAGTGCAACAATCTATTATTAAATTAGTTATGCAATAAAATAGTCTCCATAAGATGACAATAGGTAAGAGAGGAAATACTAGAATTATTTTTAAAGCTTTGATTAAGATGTGATCATTTCTGTAGAGTAAACCACCACAATATTTTTCATTTTCATTTTCATTTTCAATATTTGATATTTCATTTGATTATTGTTGGATGTTTGGTTAACAAGGTTCTTATGATTCTATTCGTTATTCTTATTGTTAGTTATTAATATCAGAATATTAACTCATGTAGAATTATTTATATTAAAGAAAAT